CACTCGTCCATTTCACTCCCAGTTCTTTCTTCATCTAACACATCCCTTATACGGTAAAGGATACGAGGAAAGAAAAGCGATAGTGACAGCTCTATCATGGCCTTCTCAAGTCAAAATTAAAAAAAATTAAAAGTAACATAATTTAAAGATATGAAAAGATATGAAAGAATGTAGAACGGAAGATGAAAAGGATCTCGAGGGCAAGTAGACACGAAGGTACTATAAAAGCGTAACGCAGTTTAAAAATGCAACATAAGTCAAATATTTTAATATATTGTAGTTTGACTGATCATATTATATTCATAGATAAATTTGTTCGTGACTCATGAAATATATATATACGTATTTGGTCCACGGAAACGATCTTTCTATTCCTAAAATGATCCTGAAGGCCTGCTTTTTTTATTTCCATTTCCTTTCTTCGATAATCTCTTTTTCCTCTCTTATGTTTTTCTTTTATTAAATAAATTAATAATTAATTCTTTTTCACATGTAATTTTTAATAATTATTCACATATCGGTCTAAAGTCACTTGTTGTTAAAGTATTTTTATAAAAGGCGAATAGCCAGTTAGTGTAAAAGGAGAGCACGATATGATGAATTTAAATAAATTGAAATAGAAAAAAATTCAATTATCTAGAAAAATGGAAAATTTTTTTCATTTCCTTTTTCGCTTTTCTTTCCTCGTATCCTCCGTCGTACAAGGGATGTGTTGGATGAAGAAAGAACTGGGAGTGAGAAATGGACGAATGTGGACGTCTATCTTGATGCGGAGAAGAGGATCATTTAGGAGCAAGAGAAGGAATCGATCAGTCTTCGATCGGTCCTCGACAGACTTTCTTTCGTTTCTTTTTTCTCGTTCGTATCTGCCAAGATACGAAGGACCTTCTAAACCGCTTGTATTCATCCGTATCCGATGCTGCGCACAAATCTGTATGCCTTTTAAACGAGAAATATTATAATCTAAATATAAATGTTTGCAATACTATATATTGATTTTTCGGATCATTTTTTGAAATAGAGAGATGATATTCCTGGACCAACTGGGAATGAGAGAAAGAATAGAATGGAAGTCTTTAGTTTGATCCATGAAAGGCCTTTTACTTATTCGCTTTTCTTTTTTCGCATCCTCATTAAAGGCGCTAAGTTTGACGATAATTAGATTATCGCGAGCGTCACCCAGCAATTCATTAAACGACGATAGAACAGCAATGCTGAAATGATACAATCAATTTTAATAGAATGCTAATTATATTTGAGAACATTAAAAATTTCGGTTCAATTTCGCGAGATCGTTCAGAAAGATTCTATGGAGACGTCCATCATTCCGGTCGTTTTCATTCACTGCAAACTCCGACGAAATGAAGTATCGTCAACGTTTCTCGCACCTGTTTCTGTTTATAATATTATAGCGCACCAATTTACGCTGCATAAAAGTGGAATGTGCGCGTCAAGATTAATTCCATGCAAAAAACTTATCATTTTATGAAATATAATTTTCTCTAAATCATTTTAGAGAGAACCGATTGTACCTAATAAAAACGCATGTATCTTAACACACTTTAATACTCGCGTTGTAAATCGCTCAAATTTCGGAAAGGTCTGTCTACTTATTATTCAAGAAAGTGCAGCCCTTAGAGAAATCTGAACGAACGATCGCAAGTTATTATGCGGAAAATTATATCGAAAGAGAGCCTATTTAAAAAAAAAAAAAAAAAAAAAATACAAAGGTATACCGATTGAAGGCTTTTTAACGTCGGGGACAATTAAGTCGCGTCGTTCGGTTTCTCGAAATGGAATTGGCTTCGACTCGCGGAAATCTCGAAGATAAATCGGTAACATCTCGGAACCGAAACGACGATGGTACGTCGCCGTTCTTGCGAAATACAGTAATAGAGCATGGCTGCACTTTCGGTTCTGAGGCACCGGGATTAGCGGCCGATGGCACGGATCTTCCGTACGGAAAGCAAGGGAGACGAGAAACCGCATGTTTCGTCGTCTCGCTCTAGCGAATGTATGTCTATACGCACATACACATTCTATACTTTGCATGTAAGTAATGCCTATTTTCCAAAGATATACGTTATGTGAAACACGCACTCTCTCGCAATCACTGAATCACGCGGGCGATTCCTACCCTCGTGTCGGCTCGCTCGGACCGGTTTTCTCCCCATTCTTTCACTCCTGCCTCCTTATCGCTCGATTCACGCGTTTCTATGATTTCTTGGCCAAGCAAATTAATCATAGGAGTTTTCCAGCAAGAATACAGTATAACACAGTGAATCTACATCTGATTACATTTACAACATCCTTAATCGGGTTTAATAACATCCATTCATAACAGTCCATTCCTTCGAGGAGTAGCTATGATTGGCCAATTTCATAACTATGGATGTATTATTAAACCTAATAATAATTATTATTAAACCTGATTAAGAGTGCCGTGTAACAGATTATAATTGTAACAGAGACAATATGATTGATCTATACGTTTAGATTCACAAGGAACCAAAGTCAAGGACCAACTGTATTGAAGAATTCTACAATAGTTGCAAAGGTGCTTTCTCTGCTGAACGCAACCATTACATCCTTGTTTGCCAATGTTAAACAAGAGTGTGTTGCATGGAAAGGACAGTTCTAAAGTAGCTAAAAAATTAGCTAGATACAAATCTGAAAAGAATTTTGTTTAGATCATCAACATAATTATATAAAAATAAAATAAATAAAGGACTTCAGAAAATAATACAACAAATAACGAAATAATGGCTACAATAATGGCTACCGTCTCCTGCGTTGACTCTTATAGCTATTATTTCGTTATTTATTTAATTATGTAGAAAATTAAATAAATTTGTATTATAAATTTGTGGCTAGAGCTTAAAACTTTTTGCACCACTATCATCAACGTTTAAGTATTTTACGTAATGTTTATATACATAATTGTTACGTAATGGATCCATGTTTCGTTCACAGTAATGAATCGACGCAGAAATTCATCTGAATTGAATGAATGTTGAAACATCTCCAAACATTGTTTTGAAATCGTCACATGGTCGCGCTTATGGTCCACAGTGAGCAAACGCATCTTGCCGATAGCTTTTTCATACCCAATTGTTCGTGCAAAATTGAAATCACTGTGCCATGTGATATGCTTGTGGCCTCAACAAGCTCGCGTACTTTCACTCGTCGATCAGTCAAAACAATATCGTGGACTTTATCAATGATGGATTACCAACAAAATTATTTCTGTAGCTAGCTAAATTTTTTGATACTTCAGTAAAACCGTTTCTTTTCCATATATTCTTACTGGAAACAAGGTTGGTAAAGACTAATGTTTCTTTTTTTTTTGTTTAAATAAAATACATTGTTTCTTCTTAAATATATTTTTAATGCTTCAAATATGTTTTAAACAGTACTATAAAAAAACTTATTTTAAACATATTAAAAACATCAATTAAGCATGGTTTAAATTGTTTAAAACACATTTAAAACACGTTTTTTACCAACCCTGATTGGAACGCTTCATCCCTCCCATTTCCGTTGATTTTATATTCTGGCATGTATACACATTGGGTGCGTTTAATTTTACACATCATACATCATTTTATCCTTGTTTAAAGCCCATTCCTATAATTACGTAAGCGTAGTAAGTTGTAAAAATTAATCATAATCGAATATTCTCCTCATATTTAGCTGTGATCGGTCACTTTCTACAACCACCGACAACAACGCTTATGCAATTGTAGAATGATCGAAGAGAACCAGCTAATTCTGGGAGAAGATACATTAATTCCCATTGAAAAAGAAACAAAAACGAGTCTCTTCCCTGAGAAGACTCTAATTTGATCTATGGATTTTTATAACAGTCTAGCATTTTGTCCTTCGTAAGAGAGGTCGATAAGCCAATCAGGGAATGAAGAAGAATTGTAGAATGGACTTAACATTCCGTGAACAACTAAGGCACATAATATGAGTATTCCATGGGCAGCGACTTCAGTATGATTGGTATGGAGTACTCCATACACTGAATGATTCAATGTATGAAATTCCATACACTGATCGATTTAATTCAGAAACTAGAATGCTTTTAAATTCATTTGAAAATTTTGCAATAGGCAAAAACAATGTTACAATCCAAGAAATAGCTCATAGTTTTATAATTTGACACCAAAGTCTGAAATTAGAAAATTATTTTGATGAACAAAAGCTTAAATTACATCGTGAGATGTTTTTAGAAATTAACATACGAAAAATGCCACTGCATTGCTTGAAGGATGTACTGCAATTTTTACAAGACAATCCCGAGATCAGAGATCTTGTTCCAGGATACGTAAAATTTATTCGCGTTCTTTTAACAATTCCTACATCATTTGTTCGAATAAAAGATTATTTTCTTATTTAAGACATTAAAAAAGTTATCTTCGATTGACAATAAAACAAAAACGTTTAAATTATCGCAATATTGTACATTTACCGAGAAATGGATAAGTTAAATCCTCCTCTTCTTTCTCTCAATCTATCTTCGGGAACTCTATATAATGAAAAATTTTATTTCGCCACCCCTAAATCGTATCCGCCATTTTAATCCATTTCTCACTCTCTTGCTCTTTTCCTCAATCCCTTGCTCTCTCTCCACTCCATCACTAAACTATAAGAAGATTGAAGAGAGAAGACAGAAGGTTGCAGAGAGAACAAAGACTGGGGAAAGGACTAAAAATGGCGAATGTGAATACCTACATTATAGTGCTCTAGAACAACATAGATAAAATGATACATTATGTAAAACAGAACGTCCTCGTATACGCGCATCAAAACATCACAGAAACGCGCCACGAAAATCGTTCTTTGAAGCAGATGTGCATACACGATTTCGTTATAATTTTTCGCCGGTTTTTATCAATCTTCCATTGGGAAACTAATGTTCGATTATGTTGGCAACGTCAATTAATACCGATCAATCTCGGATACCGATCGATTCATGAATGATTCAAGGAGATTATGAATATGATATCTTAAAAAGAATATTTTACATTTAAATTTATGATTTAGCATAGTGATGATTAGTTATATTATTGATGATATTAGTATAGTATTGATTCGATAAAATTACAAATTCTCTCCCTGTTTTTTTTTTGTTTTTTTTAGAAAAGCAAATGTGTACAATCGTAATCAGTATTAATCGGCGTTGCTCTCGGCCCTAACGCTTATAATACTAACAAATCTCTCACTCTCTTTCATTCATTCTCTCTCTCTCTCTCTCTCTCTCTCTCTCTCTCTCTCTCTCGCTATTTTACTGTACCACTTTTACACAGCACTATGTACAAAAGAATATATTACTTACAGATTATCAACGGTGATTTACCGTAAAATTCCTGAACCATCGCAACTCAAAATGGCGTATGCACACGCAGATATATGTATAATTTAACAAGAAAAAAAAAAAAAATAAGTTATCGAAAGTAAATGCCGATCGTAAGAAAACTAAGAATTATGCCGTTCGTTGGTGCTACACCAAATGCATTTGCCTAACTAAATTATTTCTTGGGACTCAATCTACAGTCACGATTAGCTAATTCCGATCAACGTATCCCTTATTCTTCCGCTATCCGGGACATCATACATACATAAGGAAATACGATGAATCAGAATTAGGGCTGAATTGAATTTT